TAATGTTGATGATTTGTTGTTCTTGGTTAGTAGTTTTAAAAGAAGATGAAGAAGACTTTGATAGATATATCTGTTGCCCTGTGTAGGCACAAAAGGCAGTAATGGAGCCATTGTTACAGCCAGGTTGTTTACCTTCAATATTTCTATATTTTTCCCCAGCAGAATGTAGAAAGTGTGGAAACCAAATCCTGCAGTCCTTACTGGGCAAAATGTCCACTGAATTCTGAATAAGGCCTGCAGTATTTGGCCCTAGAAGAATGTGGGAGGTTTCAACAAAAATTAAAAACAGTTAGTACAAAAATGTATGTGGTTGTCTAGCAATTAAATTACATGTTCACAGTTGTAGGTTTGAGAAAATACTGCATTCCAACCACAAAGCTAAACAGCAATAAAATGCTCCTTCAGAGTCATTCATATCACTAGAAGTTGTGAATCTTTCTCCTCCCTTCCCCCAAAAACCCCAACACATTTTAAAAATCACTGAAGGAGATGGATGGAAAAAATATTACAAACATTAGAAAAACATGCATGCAGTTATTTATATATTATCATCTTTTAAAAAGGAGCTTATACTGTAGATTTATGAGTTTTGGGGTAAGAAGGGTGCTGTATGATTCCTATGTATCATAAACTGCTATGGCCATTACCTTGAGGGGGTAATGACCCACTGTATAGTGTTGAAAAGTATTTTAAATCCCACAGAGCTCAAAAGGGAGTTCTTTCCTAATAAGGAACTAGTCAATGTGAGTAAAGATGGTTCTTATACTTTGTGAAGACTGTGCAATGGAATTTCAATCCATGAGTTCAGCTACAGTAATAATGACTGGAAAGCAACAAATATCTTTTGTCTGCTTACTTAATGTTTTTTGTGTGTGTTCCAAGATAGTACATTTTACAGTAAATCCACAAAGTGTCTTGAATACTTTAACGTGTGTTTAATAAAATACCAGAAACAACACATTTAATTATTTACATATTTATTTCACAAATGTCATCTACAGTAATATTTAAAATATAGTACTGATTACAAACATCGAGTACCCTCTTTTTAAAATATCTATAAAGAATGAAAAAAATCCACATTTAACCTGACAATGAAATTACTAATTTTCTTAAGTTCTATTTTAGCACAACCTTTAAAAGTTATGGGGTCAAATACTGATCATAATTACACCAGTAGCTGTGGAATAACATTACTGAAATCAAGAATAGCTCCAGATTCATGTCAGTGAAACTTAAATCAGACCCTGGCACACAATATTTTTATTTTAGTGTCCTAGGTCAAATTTATGCAGTGCATGAAGCTGACATTTTCAATATCATTTTATATATATAGTAGAGAGAGACTCTCAGCTATTAAGTTCAGATCTGGATTTGAACCTTCCCAGAGTTTGGAGATGCAATTTTAATGTTACCCAATTTCTACTAAAAATGTATGCCAGATTCATATATTTAATATCTAGGATAATTGTTTAGGTTCTAATATAAAGTCAGTATGGCTATTCATTTCAGTGGATCAGGTATTTAATGTCATATTTAATTAATACATTTCATGCATACATCTCTAGGGACCTCTGCTCTATGAGAAATCAGTAAATGCTGTGCATCTGTACAGGGAATGAATATAGACACAACACAAAATCATTCCTAACCAGCTCAGCGTTGGAACAAACCACTCTCATTTCTTTTATTCTCCAGCATTTTCAGCAGAAACTGGTTTAATGACTATGTCATTGTACTAATCTTAGCTACTTAAAATACATACGTACTTCAAAGTATACTATTATTTATTTTGTGGTTATCAGTGGTATTGAAATCTGTCTTCCATAGTACTTAGTAGAGTTTAGCTAAGGAAAGTGATATAGCAATGGACTTCATTCACTCAGTTTAATTTAATCATTACTTGGCACCTGTGGTGTGTAATGGCAGGTAAGTCTTTCCAAACTCCATAACACAGTCAGGAAATAGAGTCTTTCAATAATAATGCTAGATATTTTATTGAGTATATTCCAAATTCATGGTATGTGACTCTCAAAAGGTTTGTAAATTTGGGTCAGTTAAGCACCAAAAGGTCCAATACCCTTCCCTTATGGATATTACGTAAACGGAGTCTATAAAACAAGTTTTGGAAATGTCACAAAAATAGTTTGACTTGTGAGATTTTCAATACTTCCACTTTTGTGTTGGACAAGAAATATCAGAACAACAACTATTCACTCTTTCGAAGTATTTGGGCACTTCTATTTCTGGACTAACAGAATACAAAAATGTGGTGATGGGTGAAATGGATATTTTGTTTTACAGTTAACCAAAATTTTCCAAACTACAAAAAATGGATTTTTCTTTACACCTAAGTCCTTTGTCCTATCCCCATTTAAAATCTGCATTAATGGATGATTCTTCCTGTCTCTCTTGAGAGAACACCCACATAGAACCACTGCTACAAACAGGCAAGCCTTCAAAAGGATTATAATGAAAGCATTATCACCAATTAGGAGATGTTTCTACTATAACATCTAAGTGTCTTCAATAATATTTTCAGACTGAATACTGCTGATAGATTTCATGGAGCTTTAATAAGAATTAATTTTTAAATTTTCCCATATGTGCTATGGCTTTTTAAGATAAATGCCACTGGACCCAATTTTCTCAGGAACTTTAGGATTCTATGAGGATGCTAAGTTCAGAATGAATCCCCACTAATGCAGTGACATAGAGTAGCTTCTGGGATGTCTACAACATTTTGAGACATACAGAACCATATATAAATACATGTCAAACACAGAAATAAGAACATGCATGAAACAATTGACTATACAGAAGCATTATTTCTTTTAAGTGTTAAATCATCATGCCTCTTAAAACATTTTAAAAGTCAACTGACAAAAATTATTAGGTAGCCATAGTATTGTGTAAAAGGGAAGCAAAAGAATTATTATTCATATTTAAAGCAACACTCTAGGGTTGCTGAATTTGGGATTTCATCTGTATGTCACGTGTATTTTTGTGTAACCAGAAAGCAGTCATATACTTTATAGGATAGTGATAGAAATGTAGCCGTGTTAGTCTGGTGTAGCTGAAACAAAATACAGGACTATGTAGCACTTTAAAGACTAACAAGATGGTTTATTAGATGATGAGAATTTTCTTCCACTATTTGATCTGAGGAAGTGGGTCTGGCCCACGAAAGCTCATCATCTAATAAACCATCTTGTTAGTCTTTAAAGTGCTACATAGTCACATACTTTATAGGTTTTTCCCTCTTTTTCTACAAATGAATTATTAAATTTTTTAAATGTAAAAATAATTGTTTTACCAGGGTGTACATTTTTGTGTAAGCTAATTAAGCTTAGACCTGAACTGATCACTTCAATCTAAATTGACTCTTCCACCTAAATAATTTGTTTATCTTTCTTACTTCTTAACCTAAAATATTTGATTGCATAGATATAATTAATCTAGAGGACAGTAAGCCCTGGTGTACAATAGAGACTTATTTCAAAATAATAAGCAGATTATCCACATTACCAAGTCTGTTATTTCAAAATAATGAGCTGGTTATTTCAAAACTGTACTCCTGCTTTCCTCAGGGAATAATGCTATTTCAAAACAGTTATTTCAAAATAGCATTATGTGGATGCTCCACTGCTTCTATTTCAAAATAACTACTCTCCAGGGTAATTCACAGTTATTCCTGAGAGCTTCCTGGGGCTCTAAGTTGAGAAAGCACAACCTCTATAATGGAACCTTCCCTGTACTAATTTCAAGGCTTCCCTGTAGTGGGGACATGCTATTTCAATTTTGTTATTTTGGGAATTATTTTGAATTTAGTTATTTTGAAATAATTTCTTAGTGTAGCCATGCCCTTACTGTCCTTATACTAAAATAAAGATTCATATAGAGTGTGAATCCATGCTGTTTCCAACAGTTCAGTATTTAACATTATATGTCAATAGAATAATAACTGACAGAAGAAATATGAACCCCTGGAGACTCAGTTCTAATCTTAAAATGAAAATGTTCCATGAAAGTCTCCTGCTTTCTTACTGCTATGTATTTTGAATTCACAGCACAGAAGTGCAGGGAAAAAGAACTTTTTTTTATCATTTCATAGTTGTGTTCTGTCCGTTGATATATTGAACACCTCATGTCTTCCTGTAACTCCTAAAGGTACAGCACAAATCTATTTGTATCCAGGCTTATTATTTGATCGTAAAGATACAAATCCTGAAGTTCCTACTCAATCTTTACTGCATGAGAACTTTAACTGGATCTGATTCTGATCACATATGCATTGCTTGCGGTGAAATTATTCCTGATTTACTATCAAGATCAGAATCAGGTACATTGTCTTTAATGGCCAATTTGATGCAATAGGGACTGTATAAAATAAGGACAAGGTGGAGGTGGTAATATTTTTTACTGGATCAACTTATGTTGATGAAAGAGACTAGCTTTTCATCTACACAGATCTCTTCTTCAGGTCTGGGAAAGATGGAAAGAGGCTAATAATGCATAAGCATTTCAGGATTTGAATGAAAGTGTTTTCTGACAAAGCCTTATGAAGGAGGAATACTAAATGTAGGTGTAGTGTATTTAGAGTGAAGCGTATGTATAATCCAGTACTCTGTACACTTAAAGTACAAGAACACAATGGATTTCATATTTCAAGATGGTGCTAGACCTGTTAACATAGAAATGATTTCACTTTTAAATAACACAAGTATATATACACATATAAGACACAGACAAAGGAGTTCTACATATGTGAATAACAACAATAAAAAGGGTATCATTAGCAGAACATGCAAGGAATGAAATTCATCACTGTGCAGAATGCCTGCACAAGCCTTCTGCCACACTTAACTCTCTCAAGTTCCTGAAACATGTGGAACTTGAGTGGTGCCTGCCAGTTGTGAATTTCACTTCTCAATGAGCATTAAAATAAAGGAAGCACCTAAAGTGAATGCTACATGTTCACAAAGAGAACTTAAGAACAGTGCAAAACTATTGTGAGTTTAATCCAAACATGTATTGGAAATCATATTTGAAAATTCAGCATATGTTTAACACAGCACTTGTGTCAGCCGTTCCTGCTCTGTTTGCAGCTACACATTTGTATTCCCCTTCATCGTTTTGGATTAAATTTCCAATAATCAGGTTATGAAAGCCCATCTGCCTTTCCTCCATACAGTACCTATCTCCTTCAAGCAGTATCCCATCTTTGTACCAACTGATATTTGGGTTTGGAAAGCCGACTACAAGGCACTGGAAACACGCAGAGGCACCTACTGATGAAGTGCAGTCAAAAATATGTTTGATAAACTTAGGAGGGATTTCTGTGACTTGAAATTCAAAGGAGCAACTATCTGAACTCTCTGCTTTAAATTCTATCTCCTCCTCTTTGGATGGCTCAGCAAATACATCAAAATTAATATTGACATATTTATCTCCTTCCTCTTCATACTCTTGTTCTGTGGCAGCTACCAACTTGACAGCTTTCTGAGAATCGTCAATGTTGCGCTCAAATTCAAACTCAATCTCTATTTCAGTTTGGCTGCCATTTGGAAGAGTATTGTCTACAAGCAAATCAAACTTCTGAGGCTTACTCATAGTGCTGCCTGGAGCTATATCTGTCATTCCATCCCCACTTGCGCTAGCAAGAGCTTTCTGTGAATCTAGTACAACTAGAGAGCATTTGCACATAGCTTCTCCTACACTATTTGCTGCTTTGCACTGATATGTGCCACTATCAGAATGACCTACATTTTTAATTTTAAGACTATGGTTTCCTTTCTCATCATTCACAATGTACCTCCTGCCATCTGCGGTAATGCAGGTATTTTCTTTAAACCACTGTACTTGGGGAGTAGGTGAACCTGTTACAGTACATTCAAACACTGCCTCTGAATTTTCTAGAATTTCCAAATCAAAAGGGGGAGTGGTGAAGCGTGGGGGCATTTCAGTGACTTCAAAATCAATTTTCACATCTTCATTTCCTTGTGCAGTGAAGCCAGTGGTTTGCTCCACCAGAGCTAAAGGGAGGACATCAAGATAAACCACCATACTTTTGTTATTGGGACTAAATTCAGGAGTTGTGACTATTTTAACCTGCTTCTCTAATTCCTTTACCTCATTTTCATCCAGCTCTACTTCCAGAAGTATTTCTTGAGGAGAAGGTGACCTTGAAGTTGTAGCTTGTTCCATGTCAAACTCTATAACATGCTGGTGTGTTACTGGAGGAGGTAATGCCAAGGACCTTCCATTTTGAGGCAAAACTTCTAGGTGGGCGATACTTTTAGCTTCCCCTATGATGTTTACTGCATGGCATATATAGTCTCCTTCTTCCGATTTCTGAACATTATGGATTTCCAAAATACATATATCACCCTCTTTTTCTATTTTGACTCTTTGATCTGGTTCAAGCAATGATTTATTCCGATACCATTTCACATCAGGAATGGGAAAGCCTGTAACTTCAGCTATAAAACCCAGTGAACTGTTTTCATAGATCTTCCTCTTGGTCAAGGGTTTGATAAATGCTGGAGGCATCTCATTTCCTTTTGGTTCCACTGCTTCACATGGTGTGCCAAACATCTCTGCACGTTGCTCGTCATAAGGTGACCTCCTTTCTTGGAAAGGAGAACTTAATGTTCTGGGTTCAGAATATTCACCGGTGGGAGTTTTGTAGTCCTCTTGTGGTGTACCATCCCTTATCAAATCTTCAGGGGACTTTAGTTTGATGGATGGTTCTTCTGAAGGTGTTGAGAACCGTTCAGGAGTGCTAACTGGAGTGTGGTAAGAGTCAAAAGACATGGGAGATTCAAAATTCTCAACTGATGATGGTGGTGTATAGAATGGATCAGACTCCGTCAGTTCATCTCCGTTTATGCTAGCAATTTCTATTGACATTTCTGATTCAGGAGAGAGTGGACGGATCAGCTCCTGCTGCTGATTATAATAGTCATAAACGGTGCTGAAAGTGACATCTTCAACTTCCAAAGAAGTGATAGATTCCTTCTGGTCACAGACCTTAAAAATAGAATCTTTGGTATCAGGAATCTCTTGCTGTCTGGCTGAAAGTAAATATTTGGAGAGAGACACACATGATTTAGGTTCTGAAACTTGAGCAGTGTTCAGTTCTTGATATTGCAAAACATTTTGTGATAGGCCCCTTTCATCCAGATTTCCTTCAGCAGCATTTACAATTTCTTTAGTCTGAAATGAAATTTTATTTTCAAGCTGATCTGCTAAATTATGCTCCTGTTTCTCCAAGGCAATTAACTCTTTGCTTGATTGTCTTTCCTGGACCATGGATTCTTCCTTTCTTAAGGAACGAAGGAACTGTGCAAAAGAAATCTCTGTGTCCTGTGTGTCCGATTCCTGATGAATAGCAGGATAGTCTTCAGGAATTTCTTTAGTGTAAGATACAATTTCACTTTTACTTTCATTACAAGTAGAGCTGCTTATTTCTTTCATTGCATCATGCCGTACCTGAAGAATGTGCGTTTGTTCCTGCTCCAGTTTACATGCAGTGTGTTTTTTCTCCTCTGCAGCTTTTTTCAAGTCTGCTATGAAACTGTCTGCTTTGGGGTCTGTGGTCTTTAGTGGTTCCACCCCTTCGGAAATGTCTGTTTCTTGCACTAAGTTTTGAAAATATTGACTTATAGACACTTTGGATTCTTCTGTAGGCATAGACTCAGTTTGCTCCAATGTCAAGTCTTTAATTTGTTCCTTTGATAATACTTCCACACATACATTTTTCTCAGATTCATCAATTCCTTTTGCAGGTGATCTTTGTTCTGTAGAAAGAGGAATGCCAACTAGGTCTCTTTTAAATATTTGCATTTCAGTCACTCCAGTTTCTGTTGACACAGTCCGCTCTTGAACATAAACTCCCTCCAGCTGCATCTTGTAATTAACATGAAGTTCTTCACTTAAAGAAATTTCTTCTACAAGTTCGTCATTTCTTTGTAAATAATTTCTTTCCATTTCTGTTTCCGTGATCTCAGGAGATGACACTCTGTTTAAGGAACATATTTCTTCTGGTGATGTGCTACCGGTTGCTTCGGATGTGAACTCTGCTGAAAAAGTCACTACATGCTGTTTTAAATTAAATGTTGATTCCTGGATTGGGGGTTCTACTTTTTCTTGAGATAAGATGTCTTCTTGAGAATTATCATTTTCCCCAATAGCTTCACTCTCTTTGGAAAACTCTTGATAAGAATCAATTTTTTGACCTTCAGGTGATATGGTTTTCTGTACATTTTCTTCCATGTGGTGTGCATCAAGTTCCATTTGTTCAGAAACAGAATGTTGACCTTTGAAATATATTTCATCCTGCTGCAGCTTCTCTTGTTCTTGACCAATATTTTCTGTAGCAGAATAAACTTGTTTCAAATCAAATACAATATCGGCTGCATCATGTTCACAGGCCCGGTATTGATCTTTTAAATGTGTTTCTTCCTGTTGCCTCTTAACTTCTTCCTGTAAAATTTGATCTACAGAAGGAGTCTGTTTTAAATCAAATAAACTGTCATGTTTTTCGGGGTCTTTTTTTTCTAATGTTTGTTCATCAAAATAAGTTTCCTTCTGTTCTATCTCTCTAAAGTCAGATATTTTTTTATCATGAAGAAAGACATTTTCTTCTACGTCATGCACAAAGCTTCTGTAATCTTGTTCTTTTCCTTCTATGGTTCTTTTTTGTTGCCCTATGTGTTCTTGTGGATGATTTATTTCATTAGGATCATAAAAACTAACTTGTTCTAATTCAGATGTACCTTTGAATTCATCACATATCCCAGGAGAATAGGGCACATCATTCTCTTCTATTGTAGCTGAATCTTGAAATGTCCTATTTAAGTTAGTGTCACATACATGTTTTTCATGCAGATCTTTATCTTCTTGTACTATCTTGGATATAGGACTGAAAAAACTATGATCCTCAGATTCCTTCTTCTTTGCACTCAGCTTCTGCTCAAAGACATGCATTTGATCATTTACATTCGAAAATGGTGCATCTAAATTGTCACTGAGAGAACATACCACAGGAGGTGCACTGAGAGTTAGCTCATGAGCAGGACTGCGTAGGTTGGGCTCTGATTTCTCTGAAAAATACCCTGCACCCTGGATTTGCATTTCATTGCCATTACTAAAGGATTTGCCTGGAGTGCTTCCACTGTCAAGCTGGGGCAGATCAGTAACAATATTGCTAACATATTCTTCAGTAACTGTATTTTTTAAGTATTGTTTCTCCACGAAACCAGCATCTTTATCTTTTGTACTCTTTACTTCATCATCAGTATCCTGACTTGCAGGAGTTTCTATATTAATACATGTAGCTTTCTCTGTATGACTTTCAATTATCTTTTCAAGTTGGTTCCTTGATGAAAACTGTGTGTTAGTAATTTCTTTTTTTATTTCCTCTGTTGTAACAGACTGATCTCTTAGCTTTTCAGGGAGTGGAACCTGGTTGATATCTCCAACAGAAGCAAGTACTTTAGCTTCTTTTATCTTTGACTCTACTTGTTCAATCATTTTTATTTTCTCTTCTATTTCAATTGGGAGCTGGAAATCTGGGCTTTCAATCATTGGCTCATCCTCACTGTGTGGAACCTGGCTTAAATCACCAATATAAGCAAATGCTTCGGGTTCTATCTTTGGCTCTACTTGTTCATTCACATTTATAATCTCTTCTTTTTCAATCTGGTGCTGAAAATCTGGACGTTCTGATACTAACATTTCATCATGGAGTGAAACCTGGCTTAAATCACCAACAAAAGCAGGTGCGTTAACATCTCCTATCTTTGACTCCACTTGTTCACACACATTTATTTTCTCTTCTTTTTCAATCAGAAATTGGAAATCAGGGTTTTCAGATATTGATGGTTGTACAGGAAGTGGAGCCTGGCTTAAATTGCCAGCAAAAGTGACTATTTTGGCTTCTTCTATCATTGACTCCACTTGTTCACTAACATTTATTGTCTCTTCTTTTTTAACCGGGTATTGGAAATCTTGGTTTTCAGACATTGACAATTCTTCAGGGAGTGAAACCTGGCTTAACTTGTCAATAAAAGTGAATACTTTGGCTTCTTCCATCTTTGACTCCTCCTGTTCACTCACATTTATATTCTCATCTTTTTCATTCTGTCGTTGGAAGTATGGGCTTTCAGTTACTGGCAGATCCTCAGTAAGTATGGACTTTCTAATGTCACACATAAATCTTGGGAGTTTAGATTCTGTTTCTTTGGGGGATGCATTTTGTTCCTTTTCTGTGAGCTCTACTTGCCTCAGTATATTAAGATTATGAAAATATTCACTTACAGAATACTCTCTATCATCAAACTTACCAGCAATATATCCAACTGAGGATTCATAAAGATTAAGTGAAATTTCCTTTGTAGCCCCTTCCTGAATTTTTACATTCTGATCTTGAACAGTTTCTTCTTCAGCATCACTAATCTGTTGTGCATGACTATAAAAGCTTTGCATTCTAGAGTCTACTGTAAGATTGGAAACAGTTTCTACTGCACCTGCAGTGTTCTCAGCAATACATTTGTATGTACCAGCATCTGACACAGAAACTTCATCAATACATAACCTGTAATTACCATCTTCTTCCTCCTCAAACTGAAACTTCTCAGTTGGAGTTAGGATTTTGCCATTTCGAAACCAAGTTATAACTGGCTGAGGTTCACCAGATATTGAGCACTCTAATACAATAGAATCCCCTTCTCTACAATTAATATACTTTTGTGTCTCTTTCACAATTTTTGGTGGTTTATTTACCACATCAAAGGAAAATTTAAATTTATGTTTTATTGCCTGAGAAACTTGGTCCTGAGGTGGCTGCTCAGCAATACATTTAACATGTTGAACTATGTCCTTCAGTTCTTCATCTTGTTCTGGAGTAGGAGTAGGAGCAGTTATTTTTATTTCCACAGGAAGTGAAAGCAGGTCTAAGTCTGAAACACAAGGCATGGACAGGTTACCTTGAGGAACATGAAGGGTGGCTCTACTGTCATGACTGAAAGTTGGTTGATTCTCTTTCATTTTGTCAAACAGAAGACTAAGTTCTTCTTCCTCTTCTGCATAATCCTTTAATAGCTTAGCTTTATAAGTGGTGAATGATTCAGCCTCAGTCTTCTCTTTAATCTTCACTTTGAGCATGCCTGATGTTGTGGCAGTTCCATACTCATTAAATATTACACATGTGATGGATCCTCCATGCTGTGGGAGAACTGAGCAGAAAGTCAAGGTAGACTGATTCTCTGTCGTGTGAATGGCATAGTGCTGATTACGTGGTATGGGTTTGTCGTTATTATACCAAGTGACAATAGGTTGTGGATGGCCACGGAAATTACAACCAAATATGCAACTCGCTCCTTCCTTTGCTTCCTGAGATTCGATTTCCTGAAGAAACAAAGGGGGGGCAGGCTTCAGAAGCTGTAAAATAGGACTCTCTGACCTGGCAGGCTTTTCCTTTATTTCACAGATTTCTGCCGATACAGACTCTCTGATTTCTGCAGAGTCTTCCAGCACTAACACTGCATTTTCTTCAGCCTTTTCTGTTTTGACACTTTCAAAAGTATCAACAGGCTCATTGATGTTTATTGTGATTGTCTCAGACATCACATTCTCTGATTTTGTAGTTTCACTAAATCCATTGCAGAGAAGGACATAGATTATAGAATCAGGGCTTTTTTTCTTGGCTGTCATTGTTTGGAATTTCCCCAGCTGTGCTTTTGGTTTGGTATCTATCCTTGATTCCTTGTGAGTATGACTATGGTCGATGGAGGTAGCTTTGACAATTGGCTCTGGTTGCTCTAATGGAGGGTCTCCGAGAACCTGCTCTCTCATTGGTTCTTTCAGTGCAATTGCTGATGTTGTTTGAAATGTTTCTGCCTTGATGTTTCCTTCAGAAGAGTTCTGAGGACTCTGCGAGGGTTTGGAAAGTCCTAGGATTCGTTCCATTCGCAGGTGAAAGTCCTCTGGTGTCCTAACACTCTCTGGCTTAGCATGGCATGCAGCACCCCCCTCACCATTTGGCATTTTGGATGAAGAGGTGCATTTATGGATTGGTTTTACTGTTTGGAAGTCAGAGTGTATTGCTTCACTCTTAGTGCCCCAATGGACCAGAGGAGTCCCTAACTCTTTACCATCTCTAAAGTCTGTGCTTTGCACTGATTCAAGATGTGACTCAGTCTCTTGCTGTGACAAGCCCAGTTTCTTCTTTTCCAGCATGATTCTTTTGGCCTCACGTAGTCGTTGCAGCTTCATTTTTGTTTCCTCATCAAGCAGAGCATAATTTCCATGATCTGTATCCCTTGCAATACGTTTCCTCCCTACCTGTTCTTTATCGTACACTAACTCCTGTTTCCTTGCTACGAGGAGTTTTGGAAACCTTATAGTTCTCACCCTCTCCTTTTCTGGGGACAAGTCTCTTAACATTTTTTCTGTCTCCTGCCTTTTATCAAAAGGAGAGCCAGTACACCGCAGATAAACCTTCAGCCTATCCTCTTTCCTCTTCTGAGCCAGACATTCAGTACTTTCATGGGCTTGTCTGGACTTTCTCAGGAAATCTAAATATTTTGCATTTTGCTCCTCGCTCTGTGCAACTAGCAGAGATGCAGTTGACTCGGCTGAACCCTCACTATTAATGGCAAACACTTTATAACTCCCAGAATCCCTTTCCTGAACATTTTTAACCTCTAGGCTGGAGCTGTGAATCTGCATATTATTCTCTGTCTTTATTATTTTGCGCTGATCTTTTGGGATAGGCCTATTATTATGAAACCATGTCATTGCTGGGGTTGGATAGGCAACAACTTTACACTGGAAAACTGCAGGTTCCCCCTCTAAAACAGATCTAAACTTCAGCTTTTGAGTGAAAAAAGGTTTAAGATTGTCAGACCAAGAACTTCTCTGCGCAGATACAAATCCATGGTGTAAGTGGTCTTCAGTCTTGTAGAAAACATCTTGCATCTCTCTTCGCTTTTCCGGACATGCAGGTTCTTCCTTGAAGAACAGTTCTGTAAGAGAATGACATTACATTACAGCATACTTTGTTGCTTCTGTCATATATTTATAATATGAAAAAAATGAAATGGCAAGATATTAAATTAAGTAGGGGGCATGCTACGGATTTCATCACAAATCCAGAAAAAAAAAATTCACTCACCATATTTGTTCGAATAAACGCAATGCCTTGCTCTGTTTTAAAGATTCTGACACGAAAATCGTTCGTTGTCTGTTCTTTCTTCAAACTGTGGACATTTCTTCTTGAACAAGCAAAAATGAATTTCAAAATAACATGTTCCTGGGGGGGGAGGGGTGTATGGTTTTGCTGCCCGAAAAGCTGTGTGTCTTTTGTTGGCAAAGAAGAAAATCTTACCTGACTTGCAGACAGTAGAATAAACGCCCTTTCTGAGCCCTTTGATTATGGGTAAATTTTTCAAACAATTGAGAAAAAATATTTTGAAAGATATATAAAAATGTAGCTGTAAATAATTAGCTAAAATAATATGAGAAGGCGTTTATTCGAACTAATACAGCCACTAACTTCACAACATTATGCAAAAAAAGCAAGCAACATGGACCACATATGCTATCTGCAAGCCAGTGTAAGAAATGTATAACGATGAATTAATGTATGTATATGAAGTGTAAGGATGCAAAGGGAATATGTAGCTTTCAAATGTCCTAAATAACATACATTTTCTATTGTACTCCTTCCATCAAATTGTGTCCTTAGAACGATTGTTAGGTTGCTTACTTGTTTAAAAGTAATTTCATTGTGATTTTTAATTTTTGTTCCAATTTAAACTGTCCCATGCATTAACAAGAGAGTTTAACAAATAAAAGCTTAAGCAGTAAACAGCTGCAAAGCATGAAGTAGAAGTTAAAAGTACAGCTGCACAATTATAAATTTAAAGTTTTAAATTGATTTTAAAACTTAACCTTGTAATGCAGGTCACCCTTAGCATATTAAAACAAAACATGCAGCATATTCAAATATGCTCCAAAGTGTGTTTTACTTTTCTTGTCATATATGGTATTTTACCAAATAAAAGCTTTAGATGATTTACTAATTCTTTATGATAAATCAGTGCTTCAGCATATCATCCATATCTGACTGTACCTTTCACTTCCATTTCAATTTGTTGTTCTATTTTCTCCTGAAGAACTTTTTCCGGAGCTAGAATAAAAAGAGAGATTATTGTGATGATTGCTAACAGCATCAGTTATTGAGCTGTAAGGTTGAAACTATGAATATCTGTTGCAATGATAGAAAAATCCACACACACATACACAAGTACATGCTAAACGAATTTGAACAGCAGATAGGTTTGACGAAATAGTGATCAAATGCTGCAAAACATATATTTGTATTGTATACTTGTCTATGACTTTTTTATGATTTTTGTTTGCAATTTAGCATGCCTTTAACATGCCTTAACACTGGGAAGCAAACATTCAACAATCCATAGATGAGTGACATTTTTCTTTCTTTACTGTTTCCCATGGGCTGAATGTACTTGAATGCAATGATGGTATGCAAGAGGAACTTATGTTTGGAAAGAACATGCAGTTGCCAACCTTTCACTCTCAGATGAGTGCTGCACTCGGCTTGTCCTGCAGAGTTAACTATTCTGCACTTGTATATACCTCTCTGATTCTGACCAACTTTCAGTAATTTTAAACTGCACAGTGGCCCATCATGTTTTAAGGAACATAATGCAGACTCCTCAACTAACAGCTGATTGTACAGCCAAATCACAAAAGGAGTAGGCACACCCTTTATCAGACAAAAGAGTGACACATCATCTCCTTCTTTTACAATAGTTTCTGGGAGCAGAGTTTCAAGAAATACTGGTACTTTGGCACCAGTCTCTATAATCTCTTCATATGGCACGACATCAGGGTAGTAGTTTCCATTCCTTTGTTTCTTAGTTCCTTGTGGTCTTTGAGCTGATGTGATTAATATGCTTGATGTTTTCTCTGAAGACTCTTCATTAATTTCGGAGGTTGTTTGAATCTGAGACTCTTTGACTGGTTTAATGCTTTTAGTATCTGATTCAAGCATAATTTTTGTTACTGCTTTGGCGTGTGCTTCTTTAGCTAGGTAAGAATAAAGTTAGGAAAAGCATTAGATTAGACCGTTGGCAGGAATAAAACACCCTTATACTTTTAATAAAGCCTTACTATGGAAAAGGAATGCTCAGCATGTTAGTGATCAAACTAAAAATAAACTACGAAATATACAAGCTATGACACATTTAAGGGCTCTATTCATGCTAGGCTAAAGCAAGTTTCCAATTAAGTCAGTAGGATGTTTCCCATTGACTTAAATGGGACTACATCTTGGACTACAATGACTAACACAAGCAAGCACAACTTTAGTTTTAATTAGGGCTGTCAAACTATTAAAAATAATCACAATTAATTGCAAGATTAAAAATAGTTATGATTAAGCACTGTTAAACAATAGAATACCAATTTAAATGTATTTGTAAATATTATTGGATATTTTTCTATGTTTTCAAATATATTGATTTCAATTACAAGACATAAGAAGTTCATTTTATATTATGTTTTATTACAAGTATTTACATTATAAAGTGCAAATTGTAAGTCAAAGCATGAAGGGGCATATAAATGCTTAGCATATGTAGCACACAAATATTGTGTGATTCTGGCTACAGTAGTGCCATGTGGATACCTGTTCTCACTTTCAGGTTATATTGTAAATAAGAAATGGGCAGCACTGTCTCCTGTAAATGTAAACAAACTTGCAGTGATTTGGCTGAACAAGAAGTAGGACTGAGAGGACTTGTATGCTCTACAGTTTTACATTGTTTTATTTCCAAGTGTAGTTATATGAAAAAAAATGGTTCTACTTCTGTAAATTGCATTTTTACAATAGATTGCACCAAAGTATTTGAATGAGGTGAATATTTTTCATTTGTTTATCTTTTTTACAGTACAGATATTTGTCATAAAATAATATAAAGGCACTGTACATTTTGTATTGTAATTTAAATCAATGTATTTGAAATATGTAGAAAAACATCCAAAATATTTTTAATACATTTAAATTGGTATTCTATTATTAACAGTGCAATTGAAACTGTGATTATTGAGAACTTTTTAAAATCTAGTTAATTTGTGTATATAAATCACTTGTGATTGAGAGCCTTTATTTTAAGTGATGCCACTACCTTTGAATGGTAACTACAGAAAATCATGTAAAGACAACACTTTAGATTGATGGCAAAGAAAGAAGTTAACCGGTGCATAAGAGCCGGATAAATGATGCATGGCAAATGACTTCATGGAACAGTATGAGATAGTTTTATTTTCTTGTTCATGCTGCTTCATCTTCTGGGTTCATAAACGCAGCTATTACATTATGTATGGTGAGCAGTGGAAAAAGAACAAGAGGCCCATTCGGGGTCTACAGGAGTCAAGGAAATCAATGGCTGTACTCTAGAGATGTTATTATATGTGCAGAACCTGCTGATATTTTAATACACTGGAAAAATGGCAAGGGGGAAAAGAATAAAAAAAAACCCAAGAAAACAAAACAAAAGAAACAACCTGCACACAGACGTAGAGAAAAACTGTGTAGGTCATGAATATTGCTTTGGGAAAGAGAAGCTCCTAAATCCAATAAATAAATGAGGATTTTGTAGCACTGAGCACAATGAATGGACGTGTTCAAGAGTAAAAAACAGTCCAGAATTAGAGTGCTAGTAGAAAACTATGCAAATAAATTGCTTAAAATACAAACCCTTGCAAATATGTTGCCTTTTTGTGCCTCTCAAGGTGGAGTCAGATTGAGTTAGCAGCAGTATGAGACCCTGTGCAAATGAGTGGTCTAAGCTCTGGACCATTTGCTCATCTAACATTCCTCCCTTTTCATTATTTAAAAAAATCATCTCAAATTCCAGCTTCAGAAACCTGCATAACTTGCAAATTAAATGGTTTCCTTCTGCCCCATTCTGTGTTTTGTTCCAAGTGTATATTTCTCACTCTCTCAATGTCTCACTGGATATCAGTGACTTACACTGATAAACTGATGGATACAAATTCCATTTTACTGTAACTTGCTGGAAACAACCATGATGTACTTCCTCAAACAGGCTACAAAATTCCATGCTTGATGCCGAAAAAATATTTTATGAATAGAGTCCAAAATGTGAAAAAAACTTGAACTATAGCTTTCTAAATTAAATACTAGTGTTAGACAATGTGAGTGAGCTATACGCAGAGAGGATTAGGTTGAAATGAGGTAAGTCATAATGTTAAAAATCACCTTCTACTGTTAGTACAGCAGCAGTTGTCGTCTGTCCATGATCATTACGTACAGTGCATCTGTACAGTCCTTGATCTAATAGTTGGACATTTATAATTGTGAGCAATAGGACACTTCCATTTTGTGATAGCGTCACTCGTTTAGACTCCTTTATCCTTTCACCTTCATGGGTCCACAGAACCTCTAGAAAGTGTTCACTCTCTAAAGCACAGATGAACTGTGCAGTTTCACCAGATTTCACAGTTTGGTCGTGGAGTTTCAGGAGAATATTTGGGGATGCTTCTCTTGTTTCCTGAACAGCAGCAGTCGATACTTTCGTTGTGCTTTGTGATGTTTGTGAAAAGACAGTTGTGTGGAAAGTTTCTGTTTCTTTCACGGATGTAGTTTTCATGGTTAAACTTTCTGCTAGAGATTCCGAAACCTGCACACCCCGCTGGTACGATGGTTCTTGCACTCTTTTAATTTCTTTTTTATATGCTTTGGTTTCCTTCATTGTGAAAGGGTAAGCAACATGAACTTCTGATATTGCCTGTGACTGGACAGACTCTTTTACATCTTTCCCAGAACTTTGCCTATCTATGGCTTGCACTGTGTAATCAAGTAACAAAAAAATAACAATATTAACATCTAAAGTATTTTAATGGGCTAACGTAAGAACAAAATAAAATGGTATTGATAATAAGAATTCTTCATGGGAAAATTCAGCATGCCAGATGCATTATGCTCTTGACACAAAAGAAAATTAATTCACGTGGATGAATGGCAAATAACTTGCACTCATGCAATTGATAACCACAGTTGATATTTCGTCTCTTCTTTTCATTGAAGCTGTCCATTCTGATATCAAATAATCTGTTATGATACTCTTTACGGACATATTTTCTGTTAGCTTTTACACCCCCGTGTAGAGTATATGAGACAATGGTGTGACTGTCACCAGCGCTCTGGTTTAA